ATAAACATACATATCATCGCCAACTGATAAAACGTAATTTTTTTAAAAAATACAAACGTCGACAAATTGTTTTTATTAATATAACAATATATTTTATTGTGGAACGTAAATATAATATAATATTGCTGAGGGCTTAAATTTTAATATGATTTTTTTTCTCACAATTTTTCTATTCTGTATGTACTTATTGTACTTTTATTTTTGTATTTTTTTATAAAGCTATACCAAATATTCTAATAAAAAATTTACAAAATACAAAAAAAATAAATATATATATATCACACAAAATAATAAAAATATTAACAACTGACAAGTGTGTGGACAAGTATCAAGTATGCACGCCCCTGTTCTGTCACTAACTCACTATACACCGTCAGCGTCAGTGCCGTACCTATTACTATATTTTATCCTTGTACTTATATCGTCTGCGCATGCTTCATCTTAGTGCACGAGACCATAATTCTACACAAAGTGAACGCGGAAAGATTTGATAGAAAAATGATATTGAAACATGACCACTCTATGAAAGTTAATATAGCTATTCGTTTCTGAACATGACAAATCATTCCGTTGGCGTAGGTGGAGCTGTCTAAAGCAAAATAAGTCACTAGCAAAAGGATAAGATAGGGTTTAAAACGCGCATAGCGAATAAATGATGAGGAGTTTTGAGCTGGAAAGAACTATTACAAAAAAAAATGTGGGTGCATGTATAAAATCGAGTCATCTGCTTGTCACCAGCTTCCGAATATATTATATACAGAAAATCTTTAATCTAATATGGGTAAAGATTCGAGATCATCTCTTACAGACTACATTCTTATCCCCTGGTTGATACTGACGATCGCGTGTTTTATACGAGATCAGCTCGTGGAGATCTCATTTCAAATAGCGCTAAGTTAAATAATCACATAGATTTTGAATATATCAGTCTAAGACTGCATACGGCGAGTGATTATACACTGACAGGAGGGATCGGCAACGTTGGGTTTGTTCCATCGTATAACCAAACCGGGCAGGTGGCTTCATGACGACTGCAGCTCGGTTGTCTGGAGTCGGTGTGGATTGTATAGCGCAGTACTATTTAATATGTAATGACTACCATGAAATCATGTGTTAATGATGTAGAAATTGTATTCCCCAATTCAATTTAAACGTCGACTGTTGTACTCCGCAATGACGGTCGGATGCAACTTGCAATGCATTTCCTTGGATTGACGCGAACCAGCTCACATTACGATCCACCTTGAATAATGATGCTAACTATCAACATTCTATGAGCTCGTCAGTCCAAACTATGACCAAATTTTGTAACGATTCTCGATCATGGCAGGCCCGCGTACCGCACACGACTGAATTGAACTTCTTATCGGTTAAAAACTTAGTAGTTGCTCAGCGGAACTCGAGATAATCAAACGATACTATGGATTGCACTGCGAGTTGCAATTGATGGTATAACCGGCGCAATACGAAGATGTCAGCATTCTCTCGCCTGCGTTCCTGTGCGACTTGTACTCGCTCACTTGACTGCGGTTGAGTGGATTCCCGCTCTCTACACGCCACTTCTAAATGAGACACGGGGCAGGATGTACTACCTCGCATTCTACCGGCCTCAATATTAGACAAACTGGCCCTTTGATTTGCATTCTTAAAAGCCCATTCCAGGGTTTGATGGGACGAACTTGAAATTGTACTATTTGCATATGAACTGGTGCCAATATCCTGTGTGCGGCCATGGCTCACTCTCGTAGAATATAGTTCAAACATTGCGTTAATACTTGTATCACTATTGCCTGAAAACAATTAATTTGATTGTGTCAATATCGTTGTTCCCGCAATATATATATATATACATATATATATATTTATATATATTTATATATAATATATATAATATATATACAAATATATATATATACAAACATGTTAGAACATTACGGGTTATATATGGAATATATATCCACGTACAATCATATAAGAATATTACGGGTTATATATGAAATCGAGTTGCATATATTTGCCACTGTAATAGTTTTAACTAAAATCTAAGGTGTAATTTTATGTTGCTAGGCGCATATATATGCCACTGAAATTGTTTCAGCTTAAATCTAATATTTCTGTTTATTTTTGTTATTTTTAGAAAGCTATGTTATTTTGCGAGAAACATTTTGCCCTTTGAAGGGGTGCGGTACGAGCCCTCGGTAAGCGCAAAGTTAGTTGAGTTCAGGGACTTTCGCGTGGGTATCCGTATGTATATTGTTCGTTCTTTGATTTGCATACCTCCGGCAATCGACCATACAATGCCATATTAAACATATGACAAAATAAACACTTGACAAAATGAACAATAGTTTACCCATTGAGAAGTGCTTGTCATCATACACAGGCTGCATCAATCTGAGCAAACGTAACTATTAACACACCACAACTGGCGAGGAGACGAGCAACGTGTATAGGACTGGACAGAGACCCACTTCAGTATCACAAACACAACACCTAGCACGTGCAGAAGCAGTTGACACTCATAGCGGTTCTATTTGATAACCACCAGTGGCAAGCCAGTTTGCGCAACAAACTGTCCCAACAAGCAGACATAGTAATACCTATGCTAGCCCACGGTCCTCACACACCTCGTCAAGGTGCACCGGCATGCACCTGTTTAGATAATGAGGGCTTCCCAGGTGCAATCTGCAGCACAACGCAGTTCCGAGTACATCCATCAAGTGTGTTTAACTTACTGAAACTTATTCCGTGGTGTGTTTTGGAGATCAATTCCTTACTAGAGTGGCAATCGCAATAGGTTTCAATACTAGCACTTAAGTAGGGCAAACAGTTGACCTACACTTAAACAGCATCGAACGCAACAAATAAAGTACTATGTGTATCTACGAGCTTAAGTGATCACAGACGCTGTATCCAAAGACGCACTTATCCCCACACCGCAACACTCTCTTGCCCATTCCCAGCTAACAATTGATTCAAACGCTTGAAGGACTATCCCAATATTTATATACCCTTCACAATATTATCATGTAAGCACGCATGTGCTCATAAGAATGTGTTCATACTGATGTTGTACATATATACAACACATGCTATTCACACCTACCAATTAATTTCTACGCTTGAATGACTATCGTATCATTTATCTATATTTACCAATACTATCAAGCAAACACGCATGCACTCACACCCATGTGCTCATACATACTTACATACACTCCTAACCCCACTACTTCGCTATCTCCTCCGTCTACCTTTCCCCGTATCTTTGGCATCCTTATCCCGCTCACCCGTGTGTGCGTGAGCCTGCTGTGACTTGACAATCCTAAACCACATATCATGCATCAACCTCCACCGCAACTCCGGCGGCAGGGCTCGCATGATCACCACCGGAACCAAGAACAAGTTGCGCATGGCCAGCCCTACTAAGGCCGGGAATCTCAGCGTCAAGGCTAGAGGTAGTACTATACCCGTGATCAATGCCTTATACTCCTTAGTAAACTGCCAGGCCGGCCCAAAGTCCTTGTTCTCCCGGATGGATACCAGCGCGTCTTCTCCTTCCTCTCTCACTTTGGCCAGATAGTCTTTGATCTCTGAGAACCCTAAGTCTTTCCACACACTCTTGAAGATCTCCTCTGCATCGACCCCATTTACCGTCCAGGCCTGACGCTGCTGCTGCTGTGCATACTGCTGTTGGGTATTGGTATTGAAGCCCTGGCTGCGTGTGAATGGAGACGCTCGATGTGCATCATACGCATTCCTGCTAGATTTATCCTTGAGCACGGTATAGGCCTCTGACACCTCCTTGAACTTCTTAGCCGCAATCGGATCGTTTGGGCACATGTCTGGGTGCACCTTCTTGGCCTGTTCAAAGTAGGCGGATTTGATCTCCATCGCGGTGGCTGACTTAGACACACCCAGGATTTGGTAGTAGTCTTTGTCTGTGCTGGAGCCGTAGTGACTCACACGAGGTGTGATGTTAATGTACCTACTGGCCAGGTGTGCGCTTGTGTTTTCTGCGAGTAATGCTCGCCTAACTTGTGTGCTTGGGTTTTTAGCCAGCGCTATTCTACTTACTTGTGTGCATGAGGGTACGTGCGCATGTGATTGCGCATGCGAGTGTAGTGCTCTATTTCCGTGTGGGTGGTGTGGTAGATGCATAGGGGATTGCGTATGCGAGAATCCTGATGGTCTAACGACCGAAGTTGACAAACGGCTACTCAAACGCCAAGGAGTGCTAACACATCGAAGCCCTGGATATCCTGTAGCATACGTTGTAAACGTTGCTGTATGCGTATGCGGATTAGATGTCAGTGTTGTTGCATGTCTAGATGTGGCAGTATACGTTCGACTAGAAGCACGTTTTGTGGTACGCAGCATCTGTGTGGCAATTCGCTGCACACTACCGGTACTTTCTCTCAGGAATATGAATTCACTCATAGTTACTACTTGGGGGTGTATAACTAAATGGCCATGCTAAAATTAGGGTATCTGCCTTTAGTCAATCACAGTCATGCCTTACAGCCATACAATACGCTCCTTCCTGAAAAAAATCTTGAGCTATATGTATACCAAACTCGATTATACTTGTAACTTGGCTGTGTGTACGCTCCCACCCTTATAAAGATGCTTTCGTCAGCCGTTGTAACGTGTGTGTGTTGTCCGTTAGTAGAGAGGTGTATCTGAACCATGGACCCCACTTATGTTTGTTCACCATTATTTATTTATTAACCGCTATATATTTCTCTGATGATTCATAGGCCAAATCAGTTTATTTGTTTTCACTGGGGTAAACTTGGGCTAAAACTTGGTTGCACTTCTGGCGCGTGTTATTTAGCACCGCCTAATTTGACCTCTTTTCGTATATTTCTAAACGTACATCACAGTAGGATGATCAGTGTGTATTAAACTAACGTACATGTATACATATATCTATATATATATAAATACTATACATTTATAATGTTGTGAAGTATCGGCAACATCAAAACATCGATGGACATCAAGTTCTGACTGAACATACGGGTTCGAATATAGCTACCCGACACTCTTTGAACACAACTCAAATTACACAGTGGCACGTCATAGCAGTTTATTGTGAAGTGCTGGCCATTTGCCGACGAATAAGCATACAACCGAGCAACCTTCTTAAGAGCAAACACATTCTTATTGAAGCTCCGCAAGTTTTGACAATATGGCGACGATTCTGGATGTGGTACATCACCACGAGACAGAGTTCACTGCCTGGCTGCAGACTACACTGACGCCAATGTAAGTGGTGATTGTGCTTTGGTATTGGTTGTTTAACATCAAGAGTTGGACTTAATTTCTGTAGGAGTTGTTAATTGACATATGCCGTACACAAAAGTGTGCGGAGAACGACCTGATGTTCTTGTATGTACCTCTGTATTACAATATATTATGCACACGTCACCGTTGTATGTGTGAGGCACCGCCCACGAAAGCGTGGAGAGAACATTATGTTTGCTGGTAGATATCACTTTAACAGGCCATGTACATGTCATCGGTCTATAAAGGTATACAATTGGCTTATGCACATTTATAGTTGCAGACACAAGAATGTGTGATATGAAGATCGCTTCTTCATACCTCTATTAACGTGTGGCTGTATCATGACTCATTCACGGTGTATATGAACTTATTTGATATATATAAATATGCATCATGTATACTTATACATATATATATATATGTATGTCTGTATGTCTGTATGTCTGTATGTATATTATATAT